GAGAGAGAGAGAGAGAGAGAGAGAGAGAGAGAGAGAGAGAGAGAGAGAGAGAGAGAGAGCACCTGGTGATGTAGGCGGGGATCTGTAACTGAGTCAAGTGGCACTTTCCCCCGTGCTATGTAGTTCAGGATCACTTGCAATACCCCGGGAATGATCAGTGGACCTCCGCTTGCTCCCACAACCATCTTCAAAAGTCCCTTGCGAGTGATTATGGTTGGAGACATGGACGATAGTGGCCGTTTTCCTGGCTCAATGAAATTCATCTTGGACGGCGGTAATCCAAACGTGTTGGCCACTCCAGGGATTGAGAAGTCGTCCATTTCGTTGTTCAGCAGAATCCCCGTTGACTTGGAAACGACCTTGGAGCCGAATCCTGTATTGATTGTTGTCGTGAACGCCACCGCGTTCCGATACGGGTCCACCACCGACACATGACTTGTCCCGTAATCGTTGCCGAGGAGTCCTGCAGAGGTAACGTTCCATCGTCCGCCATAATGCTCGGACGAGAACGTCTGAGAATCCACGATAGAGTTTCTCATCTCGTTTCCGTACGCTTCTGACAGCATGTCCATCAGAACAGAGTTGACGGGCACGAACTCTGGGTCCCCAAGACTGGCACGCGCTGCAAATGCGTGTTTTAAGGACTCCACAAAGCGATGAATACCCAAGGTTCCCGCACCAGCCAAAGGAAACTTGAATCCGCCGAGGATGTTCAGAACCTGTAAGAATAGACAAGTACAGGGAGATCATTACGGCGACATAATCAACATAATTGCTTGTGGTGAGGCGGCACCCCCCCCCTGAATTTTGGGCCTTCCGTTGACCCTCTCTCTCATATTAGGGGCAACTTTCACACTATGTATTTTCTGTTCTTCGAGGCCGAATTGGACTTGTATAACAAAAAGTAGCCATGTGCAGTGAGATCAAAAGATAAATGTGGAGAGAAATCCCTCTGGCAAAGGTCCGACCCCCGCAGACCAAGGAGGAGGAAGTACTGAGGCAGCCCCTCTTCGGCAATCAAGGCCTGACCGATCACAATCGGATTCGATGGACGCTCACAATGAGAGATTCCAGATGGGGAGGTGTGGGCTGGAGAGAGGGGTGTGGCAGATCAAACACATCTGGCATGAGAGGGGTGTCGACGGTGTGGCGAGCAGTCTGACATATCTTTTTCATTCCGCAAGTTCGGCGCATAAGTGCAAATAGGCGCCTACTCGCCAAACTTAGCCTATGGATAGTAGTCCAACCAGCCCCTCAGTGCCCAGCCTGCAAAATTCGTTACGCGGATGCACCGGATAGCCCTTTGAGCAACTCACAGTAGGACCCCGAATTCGGAGAGTGTGCCTGGAGTCAGTCTGGGCAGGCAAAACGGTGACGACACACTGTGTTCTCCACTTCGTGTTCTTCTGCTGTCACGATGTCTGCTAGTGGACTGAGGAATTGGGAGAGTAGGAGAGTAAATAATAAATGCAGCAGTGATGGGAAAAAAAGCTGCTTCGGAGAGTCTGACAACTGTCCGCCTACTGTCCGAACTTCCGGGCAGTGGAGAGTAGTGCAGCGAGACGCCATGACTGCGTTCTCGGTCACAACGCTTTAAGCCACGACTACCTATCTCAGGCAACACTGGCTGACAAATTTGGCTGCACCCTCCCTGCATTCTAAGGATGAACAGCACTACCGTTGCAAAATGGCTCACGGGGCCAGCCAAAACGAAAAGAAAATCCACCGCTCCCCCTCCCCCCCACTCCC